TTCCATGGGTCTCGATTCGGGGGCTTAGAGGTTCGGGTTGCCCTTCGTATCCCTTCGTCCAAGCTGCGATTCAGGATCAAAGCAACCGACTTCTGCTGAACTTGGCTGGAAACTTTCTCGAGCATCGCCTGCAAAGTCACCCAGGAATCAACAGCTCCAAGCCCGACGGGGTAGCTAACAACTCGAACGCAACATCCCGTTGCCCAAGACTGCCAGACATCTCCAATTTGTCACAACATTCACACCGCCCTCAACTTTTTTGAAAGCCCGCGGCCCTTCCTCAGACCCAACCTATCCAACCTTTAAGGGATCTCTGCGATCCGTCGTGAAATGTCGCCTTCCCCACGAAGCGCCCCATGCGCCCCCAAAATCCCAGACCGCCCCCAAAGCCTCGACGTCCACTTCGCAGCCTTCGCCTGAGGGCCAAGTCGCCGTCTCCCGGCGCGGCACGCGTGCGGCCTTCAAAGATGGCTTGCCGCTTTGCCACCCTCCGATGCTTTAGCACATTTAGCACCTAACAAGCAAAAGGCAGGCAGAATCGGAGCTCATCAGCTTTTTTTTTGCAACGGAGCTGGGCTTGGTGGCGTGTGGCCGGTGCTAGCGTTTCAGCGCGGGCTCAGGTGCCGTACTTGCCGGTTCGGGAGACCCTCATTTTGTACTTGGCGATGACGCGGGTCTCGTACTGAGTTCGCTGGTCCACCTTGTCTGGATCATACTCGTCCTCGTTCCAATCCGGCATGTCCTGCTTCCACACAGGGAGAGGGTAGGTGTCCCACTCTTGCTGCGGGTACTCGGGATCCGGGATCTCGTCCTCCCGGCCATCAAGCCGGAGGTCAGCGTAGTCCTTGTCCATTTGGGTGCGCTCCTTGTCGATGGGGATGATGTTCCGCTTCCCAACCATGCCGCGCAGGAAGTACGCATTCTTGTTCCGGCCGATGAAGCCCCGCCTCATGACCTGGATCTTGCTGATTAAAGGCGAGTGCATGGGAAACTGGAACTCGTAGCCAACTGTGGAGAGGCCCTTGCCGAGCATTGCGCGCACAGTCATCGTGCGTGCATGGTACTCCCCCCGGAAGTTGATGATCGTGCCATCGAAGTAGGTCTCGCGCAGCTGGTCTTTGGACAATCGAACACCCCGAACCTCCTTGTCACCCGAACCAGGCTTTGCCTCTAGGTAGTACACGCGCACGACGTCGCCCGCCTGGAGTTTGTGAGGGAAGAAATCCACTGGCTTCTTGTAGATGTCGAAAAACTTCATGTTCACCTTGTGCCTGTCGATCTTGCGCTTCTGGTACCAAGCCTTCGGTGGCTCCTCGTCAAAGCTGTAGTCCGATTTCACGGCGACGGCCTCCTCCTCGTCGTCGTCGTACTCCATGTCCTCCTCCTCCTCCTCCTCGTACTCGTCGTACTCCTCGTCGTCATCCATGTCCTCCTCCTCTGCCTCAGGCTTCTGCTCCGCTCGCCGTACAGCTCTGGGTGCCTTGGGCTGCGCCTTAAAGGGCGTCCCGACGAAAGCATCACCACCAGGCTGCCACAGCACCAGCGCCAGCAGTGGCAGCGCCAGCAGGGCCAAGAACTGCCGCGCCCTGGCTGCCATCTTGCTGGCCCGGCCACTATGCAGCGCCTACAAGTCGCGCTGAATCAAGAAATGACTCTCGAGCCGAAGCCGGGGAGGACTGGAGATTTCCAAGGTTCGGTCTGCGACACGACTAGTGACTACGACCAGACACAATTACCTACCACAGCAGGAGCTGGCTCAGCTCCCAATAATTCTACTTGCCGGCTTGGGGAACTGATGCTTTGTGACAACAAAGCAAGAGACGGCAACAACAGCAGCCTAAACACTGCACAACAATTCTACAAGAGTCTGCAGTTCCCAGGCATGATGCTCGAAGGCCTGCTACAAGTAAGCCCCTTTCAAACCCTCGCATCCCTGGCGGCACCTTGCGAGTCTTTCGCCAGATCTGCCGGGTGAAGCCGGTGGCAAAGAGCGAAAGCCCCACCAGCCGATCGAGCCGCGAGAGGGAATCGAGCCTGGCCAGCGTTTCTTAATATTATTATCTTATCATTACTACTATTATTCTAAGTATTAGTACTATTAGTATTACTATTGTACGAATTACCAACTTCTCTTTGCGTCCAGGGCTTGCAGGGGGCTTTGGGTATGGAGGTTGTTTAAGCTGTTTAGGGCTGAGGTTGCTGGGCTGCCTGGCTGCAGGTTTCTTGCTGTTCCATGTGGAAAGTATTCGCGAGTGGCATCCGTGGATTGCTGGCACCAAGGGCTCGATTGGCCTGAGTATGGCGCTCTATTTTGCGGTTCATAGAATCTTTGAGTCTTTTTCGGGCTTTTGCTACATGATTAAGCCTTGATTAAGCCTTCCGCTCCTAACCAGAGCGATGACCCCAAGGACTCACACGACATTGGGGTTCAGGTGCTTTGTGTTTCCCTGCGCCTGCTCTGTGTGAAAGGAACCTGCCGAATCAGCGGGCATGGGCCTGCGACGGTCGAAGGCAAGGGGAGGAAGTGACTTTTCATGCCAAGGACTCAAGAAGACTACAGCCCTTATCACAGTCATGTCCACCAAGGCTACTGCCATCCGCTAGCCACAATGCTGCTTCGTCCGCGTTATTGCCAGCCTAACCATCTTGATCCCGAAAGCGGAGGCCACCCTAATTGAAATGCCATGGTACTTATAGCCCCAATGCCAATTCTGACTGCACTTAGAAGCCCCCTAAGTCCCCAAAGTAGTTTCTAGATGTTGATAACCACAATCATAATTGGGCTAATCAGGCCTCCTGCCCCTGCGCCACTCCCCACCTGCACACGGCCCGCTGCGAGCCCCTGAAGGGTCTGCGAAAGTGACGGGCTATGGGCTCAGGGTGTAAGAGGTGTGGGAAATTCAGGTCTTCAAGACACAATGTTTGGGGGGGTTCTGGGGCTCATGCACCTTGCTTTCAGGGGCCTATGGAGGCTCTGACAGCCTCAGGGCTTGCGTGTGCTGGGTCAGCACGCTTACAAGTCGGGGTTTGGATTGTATGCTTCCAAAGGGCTGGGAGAAGAGTTGAGCGTGCCAGCCTGGAGCCCTTCTGCTTCCAAACCCTCCAAGCCATTTTTCCGCCTAACCCTGAACCCTCAAACAGCCTCAAACCCTCTTTGCCCAAACCCTAAACCCTAACCCTAAACCCTAAAGCCTAAACCCTAAGCCGGCCTGGAGCCTCGGGCTCACCACGAAAGTCGCCGCCATGGGCACAAAGCGCAGGCGCAGAACGTTGGGGGCGCGTTCCTTGAGCCCCTTCAGATAGCTACTCAGATGCCTTGGGGTTCTTTGGGGCGTGGTGGGGTTTAGGGAGTGTTTAGGGTTTAGGGTTTCTTCTTGAGCCCCTCTTGGTTCAGATGCTTCGGGGTTGTTAGGGTTGTGGATCCATAGCAGGTAGGTTCGCGGGCACAATTGCGGGGACACCTCGCCGTCCCCATAGCGTCTGGGACTCTGCGAATCTACCTTTCTTGCGATCGTTGCTTCTTTTGCTCGCCCCAGGCTGGCAATACGACAAGGTCAATCATGTCAATCACCTGCATCGGTGGATGACCAGCTGTCTAGGGAGTTGGTCATTGAAGCCCTTACAACCCTTGCTCCAGTCGTAGGAGACGGTGTAGGCCAAGAGACTTCCGGATGCGTTGAAGCGGCAGGCGCTCAGGGACATCTTGCTGGCATCGAAACGCTTTAAGCACTTCTTTTGCGCGGTCTCCCAGAAAATGAAGGAGCCATCGCTGCCCGCCGTCACCAGCGTGCTTGTATTTACTGGGTGGAAATCCAAGCCGTTCACAGTCCCAGCGGAGGTCGGAGTTTGGTGACACTTGAACGAGAATGTTTTGGCTGGCTCCTGCAAGTTCTTGACCGAGCAGCGACCCTCAATGCCACCAACAGCATAACCAGCGTGGTTCGGAAAACAGCAGACCGTCCGCGTCTGCATCTTCAAAGCACTGAACACAGAAGTGCTGGGCTTTTGAAGAGAAGCAGCACCTTGGCTTAAGTCAAAAGTGAGCATCTGCCTATCCGCTAAGCCCACGACAAGAAGCGCAGATTTTACATCCATCGCGAAAACACGATCAGGAAGCTGCACTGTGTTCACAGGCTGCGGCTGCTGCGGGCTCCAGAAACGAATTGTCTTGTCCCAGCTGCCTGAGACAACTAGGTTTTGATCACTCAACGTTGACACGTACTTCACTGGAGCATCGTGGGAACCCAGCTCCATGTCCTTCTGTGCCTGCACATCTCGCACTATCACCTTTTGGTCGCAGCCTCCGCTCAAGACGTGCGTCCCATCGCGGCTGAAGCAACAGGAAAGGACTGGAGCCTCCCGCGAGAACGTCGCCCGGCCTATGACCTCACCACCACCCTGCAAGACCTCCCAGAGGTAGACGTTCCGGTCCCAGCATCCCGCCGCAACGACATCCTGTGTTGGAGACCATGCCAGGCAGCTAAGGCTATCTCCAGGTGTCTCCTTTGCAACAACATCACCGCTGCTCTGCAGGTGCTGTGCCGTCACGCCTTCCGTGGGCAGAGCCATGCATGTATGGCGGCCTGCCTGGGTGCCTGCTTCGACTCTCACGCTGGCAAAGCGGGGAGGCTGTGAGTGCCTACTTAGCTTGCCACAAAACTGTCAGCCACAGCTAGCAGACTGTAACCGTGTTGAGGCATGTCATCTTCTGCACATGTAGCTGTTCATGCTGCTCGTGCTCTTCCATCATACTCTGTCTTAGGCACACACTGGAGCACCATTATCCTTCAACATCCCTACAAGTTGGGCAAAACATGCGACGGATTTGCAGGCACCAAGGTTGAAAGCAACTAAAGAGCATCCCTCTCCACCCACACTTCCTTTCTCAAACCTAACTTCGTGTCAGTTGCATGTCCTTTGCCTATCCTGTACACTTGCTAGCTGGGGTCGCCGGATAGCAACAGCAACGGCAACAGCGTGTCTGGCAGAATGAACCCAGCCTCAGGTGCCGGCGCTGTCCCCAGGACCAGCTCAGGGGTGGGTGCGGATGCGAGCCCTGGGAAATCCACCGAGCGCCTGGGACTCTACGTGGAGTCAGGTCACTGGCAACCCTAAACCCTCAACCCTAAACCCTAAACCCTAAACCTGACACCCGCCACTGCCACACCCCCAGTTCAAACTCTGCTGGTGTATCGGGGCATCCAAGAGAACACATGTGCGTGGCTCATCCTGAACATCAAGGTGCCAAGGAAGTAGTTCAAAGTCATCAGAAAAACGATAACTAACACGTGTGGTTATCAACAGTGGTGGAGGGATGGCAGGATCTCACTGGCTCACTCCTGCCAGACCCGGTGTGCAGCCCAAGCAACAGTCCCATTAATGTCTTGACAGGTCGATCTAGGATTGCGGGCTTGGGGTCCTTGAAGGATGCAACGCTTGAAAAGTGAATGCTGGGTTCCGCCACGGCGTGGTCGCAAAGCACCGGAGGGGCTGCTTCTGGACCTACCAAAACACTAGCATGGTTGCTTGGGTTTACTGAGACTGACAAGCACGTGATTCGTGATTCCTGGGGACACTACATGCAGGTTTTGGGTTGAGAGTTTTGTTCGGATATGTGTGTGTGTGTGTTGGAATCAAGAACTCAGACAGCTGCATCTGCCTGCAAATTGCTCGGCAGCTCCTGGCATTTCTTGAACTACCTATGCTTGTACGATCACTTCCTGCAGCACGCCATCCGCGAGACACACCAACCATGCACCCTATAAGTGCGAAGCCGAGAAGACCTTGGCAGCAAACTCCCAATAAGTTTTAGTTAAAGGCTCAAGCTTTTTTTCTGTATGATGATTATCATATATTATATTTCCCCCCCTGTAGAACCCGCCCGAAGCTGCCTGGCAGAAGCTACGCGCTGCCAGCAGAGGGACGAGAGCTCGGCGCATGGTCCTTAACTTTTGGGCACAGAAGCTGGGGGGGTCCGGGCTGCTACCAGAGTTCATGAGTTTTGAACATTAAAAACATCAATAACAAACAAAATCACATGCACAGCTCGAAAATACTTGGCATTCATTTCGTCGTGAGAATACTCATGATAGCAACAACCAGAAGGACACTAAGACTATGCCTCACAATAAAGTGATAGAACATAAAGATGTCAGGTTTACTCGGGCTTCGTGCTTGGGACATTCCGGACTTCAAGGTTGCGGGCTGCGGCGGGGGCCGCTGCTGTTTGGGGCCCTGGCTCAGGACGAAAGATGCAGGGGTCAGGGCCCAAGTTGACCCTACAATCCTGCCATGTCGATGGCCCACAACCCTGAGTAACCGTGAGAGACACGAGCTGAGGGACAGGGAACCGAATCATCAGGGTGTCCGGGACACGAGGATTGCAGGCTTTTGAAGGCTTTCTTCGGGCTTTCTTCGCTTAAGGCAAGGGCCTTGGACCCACTGAGGACATCGCCAAGCCGATGACAAGGGCGGCTCAGAAGGGCCGGGCTACGCAATTGCTGACTCTTCAGGCGGTGTCCTTTCTGTGGCGGGGCTCAAAAGCATGCTGCTGGTTGCACATGACATAGAGTGCGCCACGGGATTAAAACCAGATGCTGGAGCCAGGAAGTCCACGGCACCACCAAGTCTGACACTGGCTGGTTCTTAGAAGGGAATGCAGGAATCTGGTGGCCTGTATAATCCCGGAAAAGGTATGCAGAGGGCACTAATTTTACTATTCTCTACTAAGAACCAGGGGGAAGATGTACTGTAGGGCTGGATGGCCTTTGAAGCCACCCCTTTTGAAGTTGGGGCCCTTTCGGAAGGGCAACCTGCAAAAGACCTGGGCTTCAGCTTTCCTATCTTCCATAGCAACCCGCGAAGTGGGAAATCCCTGCAGTTTGGTCCCTTCTGCAACAGGCGTCAGACTTCGCCCGGAGCCAAACCCTAAACCCTGAACCCTAAACCTGAACCCTGAACCCTGAACCCTGAACCCTAAACCCTGAACCCTAAACCCTACACCCTCATGAGTCGGATCGAGCCCCGGTCCGCATGTCAATGAGGTGGGCGATCTCATCTTTCAGTTCGGCCACCTCGGATGTCAGGCCATGAGATGGTCAGCTCTCCACATCTTGGTGCCCTTTTTGGGAACCCTAACTTGGGATGTTCCCCCTTAGACTACTGGTACCAGTCCTTAGGTAGGGAGTAGAGTAGGGGGTACTGTAGTTCCTGTTAAGGACGGTTAGTATAAGGGGGGAACCTCCCAAGCTCCCTAAAAATTAGGGACCACTTTATGACAAAAGGACCCCAGAAGGGACCCTAATTTAGAGACATGACCATATCTGGATTGGTGGCTTGGCTTTGTACAAGGCTTGAGGTGCTTGAAGGCACGTGCGGACATCAGACACCTTTTTTATCAGGTCGGAATCCTCGGAATCCTGAAGCAGGCCTGTTTAGTGAGTCATGTGCGAAGCACGCACTTAGGGCTTTCAGGCTGCTTTCGTGTTGGGGACTCGAGCATGTGAATGCTTAAGGCCAGCCAGGACTTGCACAACCCCTGCGACTCAAGCACATGCCAAATATGCATCAAGACGATTCCTGGTCTACACCTTAAAGTCAGGTGACGAAAGCTAACCGCACCCCGTGCCGGAGAATGCACCAGCGGTACCCAGCAATATCAGGGTGGACTCCGCCCTACTTCGTGCTTGGAGAAAGAACAAGCCGGGAAAAGAAGCTGCAATCCTTGCATGAGGACGGGGGATTTTGGGCTCAAGGGTTCTCCGGCGCCTCCTTCGCATGAAGCTTCTTGGTTTCCATCAGCTGCTCCTCTTTAGCCTGCCGAGGCACCGGGACAAGAATTATATATATATGTACATAAGGGTGTATATACATATATACAATTTATATATATATATATATATATATATAAGGGCTGCGCAGCTGCTTCCCAAGAGCTGCAAGAAATGGCCCAACAACACTTTGTTCAGAATGGTCTCGCGTTCGGTCTCTCCCCCTCTTCTTCTTTGAGTTGCCGTATCCATCCTAAGCAGCCTTAAACACCCCTGAGGTCTCATAGCTTCAGCCGGTCCTCGAGTGCATTCATCGAATCCTGGAGCATCGCGATGGCGCTGCTGGTGGCATCCTCTTTCCTGCGCAGTCTCTCCTGCTCTCCCTCCCCTCCCCAGCACCATAAACAGGAAACAGAAACAGGAGATAGGGGACCATGTAGCAGTATAGAAATACACTCAGGTGGCAAGCCAATTTTCTTCCTAACAAAGGCAAGACAGAGCTTTTTTATCCTCAAGCAAATAGCAGATCAGGGCCAGCAGAGGATCTCTTGCACCCCATACTCAACACAGATTCATCTGATTTTTCCGAAGTTCTTGCGAAAAGCCCAAAGGAGGTTTAGGCTTTCGGGTGAGGTCAACCAAAAGAGCCAACACCGATCCGAAGACTGAAACTAAAAGTCACCCACCGAGACAAGGTGAAAAGATACTGCGAGAAGAAAGCTTCCCACGGACATCTACGAGGCCACAAGGCATCTTACCACGAAACACTAACCAAACAAGTCAAAGCAAGTACTTGCCCGAAAAAGCTACGAGGACCTTGTATACACACATTGTGAGGGTTGACCGGACCGCCAAATGCAACCGAAACCTATCCACATAGCTCCGAATCAGACAGAGCGTTTGAGGGTTTCTCGGGCAGGTGTGCGTCTGGGGTCAAGGTTTGGGGGTTTTTTGGCAACTGCAGAGAGATGAAGGTTTGAAGCTTAGGGCTTCGGGTTTGTTGCGAGCTGCCCTGCTTGCCCTAGAAATTTGTCTCTTTCGGGCGTGCTAGGGCCTCCCTCCCCTGCAGGCTTTTTAGGAGCTTTTGATGTCTTTTCGGCTTCGGGGGCTTCCGGTTTGTCCGGACGTTTTGGGGGCTTGGAAGCTGGGACTCTTGGGGACCCTTTGGGAGATCGAAACAAAGAGGGCAGTCGCGACATCCGTGCCATCTCAATTTCCAAGGCCATGAGGCCATGACCAAGACCTCCCGACCAAGGAAAAGGCCTGTTCCAATGAAGGGCCTCTGGAAACCTCCCAAGACCCTTGTGTCAACTTAGAAGTCTACACACTCACGCCCGCAAGAAAGAAACCGCAGGGCCTCCCTTCATTCGTGGAGGTCACGGACTCGCGACGTGAGCCTCAGAAACACAGGGTTACATTCAAGGGGGTTGAGGGGTGCTGAAGGTCTCTTGAAGAAGTTCTTCGTGCACTTTGATGCTGGGAGCTAGGTAGCTTGGTGGGTTTCACTTGTTTTGGGACTTAGCTTTATGTCCGCCCTCTGGCCAGACCGGGAACTTCAACCTCTTCGAGTCGGCATACATGTTTTGCTGGGACACTATCACTGGCCCACTTCTCCTTCTTCTTCTTCTTCTTTTTCTTCTTAAACCCTCAGCCGAACCAAAAGGCCCATGATGGCCCATGATGGCCCATGATGGCCCATGATGGCCCATGTGGTTTCGAGCTTCGCAATTGGACCTCGGAATCCCACGTTCGGTGGCACAGTTCAACGTTGCCCTTTCGTCGGCACGATCCAACCAGAGACCATAGGCTGTCCCTAACTCCGGATCTTGAGGTCCAGATTTGGGATGTCAGACCGCAGTGCCGCGTAGAATCTAGCCCTGCCCAGTGCACAAGCATTTCAAGGTTTGCGTGTCTTTGTCGGGTTTTGTGCGGCAAGTGGCAGCAATACTGGCAGCGGAGGAGGCCCTGCCATCACGCAGATTTTGGGGTTTCGGGTGCCTTACCGGCCCCACCGAAATGTCTTGAAATTCACCTACCGAAGAACACCACAGGACCGCCTATCAGCGCAGCAGGGCCCAGGCCCGGATGCAAAGCCATGACTACCTGCACAGTTTGGTCTGAGGTGTCTTTTCGACTTCAGGAGCTTGGAATTCCGGCTTTTTTGCTTTGAAGCTTCCCGTCAAGGGTTCGAGTCTTATTTGCAGAGAAGGAAATGTGTTTGTGAGGGCCACGAGCCTTGTCACTTTGCACGGGTAGCATACATGACGAAGTCCTGTTGATGACGACAAGACTACTGCGCTGGATATGTACGGCGACTGTCGCATCTGCTTCTTCCGCATGCCCAAGAAAGCGGGCAAGGAACTTCTACGCACGCTTCGTCGCCCGAACGCTATGGCTTTTTTGAGTTCTGCCTCTCAGAGCATCGCAACTCTAGCTTCTACCAGACTGCTGGCTATTGCCCCACTGCCTCTGAATCCGAACCTCTCAGCCCTGCTCCATGTACCATGCCTATTGCTGGCAGTTTTCGGTTGGTGTCCACCTGACTTTTTCAATACTGACGTGAGACAAGGCTGTGAAGACTGGAGATGCTTCGCTGATTGCACAGAAGCACCATAAGACCCGGCCTGGGCGGGGTACCACTCGGCCCCTTAGCCCCCCGGTGCGGCGGAGGCCGCGGCCCCTCCCCGTCGAGCTGCGCAGGTTTGGAGCCACAGAATCCGAGGAAGCGGCGGTTTCCCCACATACTTGCGAGAAGGGCTTCTTCTTGAAGGCTTCATGGGGGCTTTGTCCTATCAAAGTTTTGGGAGCTGGGGTGGACAGGTTAAAGGAAGATTGTGAAACCAACGGCTTCAAGTTGGAGGAATTTTCAGCCAGACCAGTGCCAAAGCCTGATCCGTACCCGACCTGGCCCCTGGCATGCGCAAAAACTCTGGCCACGCTGACCCCTTCGCACACACATCCCTAAGCAATCATGCTAATTATGACACTGCATGACATTGCCTACATGTGCCCACTAGCTGCAGTCATCCGCAAGAAAGGGCCATGCACACTGTTCAGTTCAGTTCACGGTCAGCCCGCTGAAGCCATTTTTTGACGCAGGTTGCGAGAGCAACACGTGCGGAGGCATGTGCGCCTTGAGTGCACTGGGCGTGCTACGGCGCCTTACATTCGATCATCACAGGGCGGTGGGGACCTGAGCCTCCACATGAAATGCATCGCAGACCTGCCGAGGGCTGGAGGGTCCGCGAAACAGGAGCCCCAGGAAGCTTTGCAAGGCGCATGCTCGTGGTTGCGCTTATGGTGGAGTAAATGGCCCTAGGTCCTAGGTAAAAGGCCCTAGGGAACCGCAAGAAGCGACTGAAGCCTGGAAGAACCGCCGCGACTTGGCAGCAGGCACGGGAGCACCCAGAACGCACAAAGCGTGGTCAATAACAATCACCGCCTGTGCAATGGAGGTCACGCTGCTGTTCTCCCATCGTGGCCACCGGGCTGACGGGAAGGCCCAGGTGGCGAATGGCAATCTGATCCCCCAGCCCCATCATGCGCGCCACGTGTGTGGACTTCCTGTCTGACCTCGAGAAGATGGACGTCACACTAACCCGAGGTGGCCAAGGGCCGCACCGATCGGATCAACGTGGCACGACAGGCGACATTTGACGTGTCTGGTGCATGTGACTGAAGCCCAGCCGCTTCAGAAAGATGTCGGGCTTCGCCTCAGAAGCAGCCAGGTTTGGCACATGTTGGCAACCTGGACGGAAACCACCTCCTACTCCTGCACATCATACGCCGGGCCTACCGGCAACTGCCAAAGGACGGCCGACAATGCTTGCGTTCACGACTCCATCTCCAGTCAAGCACTTAGAGGCAGGAACGACCTCTTTGGGGAGCCCGATCCATTGGCAGTGTCGAGGCGAACATGAAAGAGAGTGGCCAGCATGATGTTTATGCAGCAGGGCATGCCTTCTCACGCACGCAGACGAGGCTGTCTTCCAATGCGAAAAGGAACCAGACAAGTCAGGAACAGACTCCTGGTCTTGACCTTAACACCTTCACCGCACCTGCAAAGTAGCAAATTGGGTGTTCATGCTAGCCTATGCTAGGGGCTGGGGTCTTGTAGGGGATGAAAGCGTTTACGCGGCTTGAGGACATCTTTGCCTCACCGTCCTGAATGCACACATGGAAGAGGCAAAGAAACTGCAGAAGCACATTTTTCACATGCCCTCAATGACCTGCGGCGCCGACAGCGCTGTTGGACTAAGTGGGGTAACCGGCAGAGCCACACAGGGCCTGTCTGGTAGGAAGGGAGGGCTGAAGGCTCCGTGAACGTCGGCCGTTCAGCACATCCACTTGCACTGCTGTCGCTGCTAGGCAGGCAGCGGAGCGATTCAGGAAAATTGTTGATTTCGACACATGAAGCTTACACCGCTACAAATCGCTCTGAATGGCTAGAGAACGCCTTGTCCCTCACCATCATGGATTTACACATGGAAGAGGCAAAGAAACTACAGAAGCACATTTTTCACATGCCCTCAAAGACCTACTGCGGCGCCGACGGCGCTGCTGGACTAAATGGACTAACACAGGGCTTGTCTGGTCGGCAGTGGGGGCCGAAGGCTCCGTGAACGCCGGCCATACAGCGCATCCACTTTCACTGCTTGCGCTGCTAGGCAGGCAGCGGGGCGATTCAGGAAGTTGTTGAAGTTGACACATGGAGCTTGCACTGCTTACATGCTCCCCTCCATCTGCTCCCCATCTTGAAAGGCAGCATACATACTGGCGGCCAGCACCTGCCACCAGCCTTGTGGACAAAGTGCAAAGCTTTATTTCTCTGGATCATACCCTTCCCTACCGACCTCAACTTCAACTCATGGAGACTTCCCCTGGTTCAGCAAACTATTCGAAAACGACATGTCCCAAGCAATCTGGCACCCTGGCCTGCAGGGATAGGCAAGGCATTGGCCGGCTGATTTCGATTCAGCTCAAACTTTGCGGCATCATTTGAATCTGCTTCTTGCTGAAGATGCCAGTGCCGTTGCCACGCATATAACATGCTTTGCAGGATGGACTTGGGCAGCATGTCTACTCAATGGCTGCAGGCAGAAGAAGCAAAGCAGTCGAGCAAACGCCCGCTGGCACTGAGAACAGAAATATCTTGGACGGACGTCCCATCGCAGGCTGGCAACAGGAGGAGTGCATAGCGCAGACCATTGCCCAACATTGGGACAGTCACCAGATGAGCTCCCGACTGAACGGACTTGATATGGGCACCTGGACAAGGCAGGACGTCACTGGTGATGCTGTTGGGTCTCCGAGGACCACTGTCGAACAAGTTGAACATGGGAAGTCGCTGCAAGCCTGCAGGGAAGCCTTCGATCAAGATATTGTTGGCAAGTGCGCCCTTCAGAGAAATCGGGAGAGCCCATGCCTGGCAAGACGCAAAGCCAAACTCTGGCAAGTGGCGCAGCTGAAAGATGCCACTGCACGCCAAGTTCGCTTTAGCCCGAACCCGCCTGGTTGTTGCTTCTGACAATGCTTCAGACAGTTTTAGCAGATGTGAACAGCAAGAAGATGGAAGGGTGGTCTGTCGGAGGGTGGCACAGGAAGGCAGGGAAGGCATGCTGAAAGGAAGCCGCCGGCAAAGCATAGCTCGCCAAGCGCAGCCGATTCTGCGACGTTTCACTGCTGACCTGTGCCACGCCGCAAGCCTCGGACTGCGACAAGTCGAGCTCCAGATGGGCGGTACGAGCTGCATACAGGGCTCAGGTCTGTTGAGTCGGGCCCGACCCGTGAGAATCGGCCACGCCAGGTGGAAATCCGAGGAAAGCAGCGCACCTCAAGACTGCGGCCACAGCGGCTTCAGCAGCGGCTGCGGCAGCGGCAGCGGCTGCCGAGGCTGCACACGCTGTCTCTCCAACACCAACCAAAGCACGGGGACGTTGCTTTGCTGCAGCGCAAACGCGCCGAAAGCTTTAAAGGGCGACGAGCACCGAGCGTACCTTGTGGGAAATGAATATACCCCAACTTCATAATCCGAGAGAAGGCTGATCATCTTAGCAAGTCGGTCTGGGATTTTCGTGTGGAAGCGTCGGAAACACGTTTCTTTCGCAGCAGGCCCGTCCCAGAACTGCTGTTGTTTGACGTTTTTCCAGGCCAGCAAAGTGCTTGGCTCCGTGAACCTGAAAGCTTTCCTACATGCCTGCCTTTAACAACTGTTTGCCGGAAGCAACTTTGCATACCTGCAAGAGACCGAGCTGCTGGACGGAGAGCGGCTTACAAGCAGTTAAAGCTCTAAAGGGGAAGTTGCCATCAGGCCGCCGAGTCCATCATCTCACAGTGGTCAAGTACACCACCAACATCCAAAACAATCAGCTCATGAACATCGAGGCGGAGGCTTAAACGTTAAAGCTTGCAGGCTGCCAGCACCTGCTTGCCGCTGCCAAGCCTCACGTGCTGGGCCGCTGGGCAAAGTCGCTCAAGGCAGCGCCACGCGCCCAGCACCTGGCCTGGTGCTTAGTGTGTCTGGTGTCGCCTGCAGCACCAAAATTTCGGCAGGCTGCCAACGAGCACTGCGAGGTTCTGTAAGGGAGAAGCACGTAAACAAGGCAAAATGAATCCGGGGCCCTCATGCAAAAGGGCACGGAGGGCATGCTGACATGAGTCGCACATGAGATGCCTTAGCGACTCAAGGGAGTCATCCTGGCGGTGCCGCAGTGTTTGACACGTTTTCGACGGAAACCGCATCACGTCGCGGAGGGCAACCTGGCCAAGGCCCCAGCGGGTAAGGATGCCGGGCCCTTTACTTGGCACCTGGCTTTCGTGGCTTTGCTTGCTCTGAAGGTCCGCAAAAACAACCACGCCGAATCGCAGATTTGGCCATGCCAGGGACGCCCCCGCCCACATTGGTTACGTCCATGCTGAGAATGCTGAGGAGGGCACGAAGCGGCAAGGCTATGAGTTTGTGGGTGTCGTTGTGAAGGCAAAAACTGAGCTTTCCATGGCAGTTGGAGTTTGCAGGCCGAATCTGCCCAACGATGCAGCGCTCGGGTCGCAGGGAGGACTTTAAGGAAGCCCAAACCGGTTCTCGGGTACACGCACACGGCTGGGTTTCCACAAACAAGCACCCTGAGTACTCAGAGAGAGCCGCTGCGATGGACCCTGCTCAGATTCTGGACGTTTGTGGACCTGTTGCGGCGGGCCCGGCATCCAAGCTAGTCCATGAGAAGCTATGCCAGAACAGGCACATCGCTCGCGAGATCGTGCTTCGGGAGGGGCTGTGCCAGAACAGCTTGGTTCAAAGCCGGAGTCTCAGCCAGAGCAAAGCGGGAGAGGTCCTTTGTCACGGCCCAAGGAAAAGTGCCTGTGACGCGAACATGAGTTGCACAGACCGGCTTGCTCATTCGACCCTTGACTTTTTTACGAGAACGGAGCTCGGTGTAGTAATCGAGCCCATGCTAAATGCTTCAGGCAGGGCTGACAGTGTCCAGGGGGTCTGGCCACCGCCTCCGACATGGGACTGACTACTGGGAGGGGACAAGAAGGAAGAGACCGCATGTTGAAAAGGGACCTCTCAATTTCAAGGTCCGTGAACAAGCCAAACCCTTCTGCGCGCACATTCTGGCAAGTGCCGCGACTCTTTCTGACCTCCGTGCATGACTGCAGCGAGACCTTCAGCTCACGCCTAGAGAGAACTTTTGCGCACGTTCCACTGACAGATCAAGAGGATTTCTTTGCCACTCGCTGTAATTATGAAGGTTCTACAGCTAGAAGAACCGAGAAGCTAGGGCCACCCTAGATGTGGAGACTGCGCCAGTGGAGACTGCGCCAGGCACGGCATCAAATCTCGAGATCTAAACATGAATCGGCTTGCGTCAGTCGGCTGGTACGCACAGAAACGAAGAGCAACTCAAGAAACCAGCTGCAAGGAAATTTTTGGGAGAAGAACGACATCCTAAGGAAAGAAGCCTACAGAAAGAAGCCAATGAGTGCTTCATGCTCTCAAGAGAGGCATGGTCCCTGGAGGCTCCTGCGCTTCACAACGGTGCCGTAGCTACACCTCGTGCTTTCGGCAATGTCACATTCCGAACGATGGACGAGGCACATCAACGCGACATCAACGCGAACGCAATGTGTGCCACCCCTTCCTTGGGCACCCGGGGCGAACAGCCGGGAAGGCCTTATGAAGGGTGATGCCATGGTCTGGCACTTGCACGATGGGTGCACAAAAGCGCAGGAAACGTGGGCGACTGCAACAGGAGGGCTGGCCCAGCGCATTGGCACAAGCCCTTTACAAAGGGCAAAGCACAACGCGGTGTCGGGCACCTGGGTCCCTGGCATGCCGGCATGTGCCCACTTCGCGCACTGCAGATTCTCACTGGTCCTACAAACATGTCCCGTAGAACATGCTCTTAGGGTCCAACTTCGCGTTCGAGAAACCACCGCGGAATGGCAAAAGGCAAATCAGGGCTGAGCCCTAAAAGGGTACACGTCTTGGCAAGGACAGAACTGAATATGTCTCGTGGTGAAGTAAAAAGCTACATAACGGTTTGGCTTTGCGCGCACTGCATGCTGCAGAACATAAGCATGGGAAAAGAATGCCAGCTGCAAGGAGCGTGATCGTAAGCAGGCGTTGAACATCCAAACTGCCAATGGAAAGCTCGCAATGCACGCCACCTGCTACCCTGAGCTGAAACAAGTGTGTCTACAATGTCTACAATTTCGATCCATCTTCACCCATCTGGATATCTGCGGCCGAAAGCCAACAGCAAAGGCGAAGGATGCGAGAAGTTGCAAGTGCCTGGAACGAGGGCTTTCCAGGCAAAGAATCACTCTCGCATGCAGGCGGCCGATCAAAGCTGTTTCTACCGATGGGGTGCAATCACGCGAGTGGAGGCATGCCGGCTGTTCATGGTGGCACGCACTGCAACCACGGCATGCAGGAGCCGCTGGGGTGCGTGTGCAGAGACTGAGGCAGGATGCAACTGCAGCAGGAAGGAGCCAACGGCGGGAGCATAAAAACTTCCCCAAGCTGTTCAAGCCAAAGAGGCACAAGCGAAACGCATCAAGAGCCGGAACTGTGTGAGTACTGACCTCGGCATCAAGCAAGAGCTCCTCTGCCACCCTCGCAAAGTGCACGGAGACAGCTGGCTTCACTTCACAGCAGATCCGGAACCAATATAGCCAGCCAAAACCTTCAACTTCTTTTTATGAGAACGGAGCTCGGTTTGGCAAGGGTCGAGTTAAGGTCGAGCCCAAGGCAAATACTTCAGGCAGGGCTGACAGTGTCCAGGGGGTCTGGCCACCGCCTCCGACATGGGACTGACTACTGGGAGGGGACAAAAAGGAAGAGACCGCATGTTGAAAAGAGACCCTTCAATTTCGAGGTCCGTGAACAAGCCATACCCTACTGTGCGTATTTTCTGCCAAACGCCACAACTACTTCCGACCTCCGTGCATGAACGCAGCGAGACTTCAGGTCACGAAGACAGAAGTCTTGCACACGTTCCACTGGAAGATCCATTGCGGTGGCACATACGGCAATCGATTTGCACTGCACTTCGCCGCTCGCTGTAGGAGGGCTCTATGGCTAGAAGAGCCGAGAAACTAGGGCACCCCTAGATGTGGAGACCGTGCCAAGCACAGCATCAAATCTCGACATCGGCACATGAGTCGGCTTGCGTCAGTCGGATGTTACGAACAGAATGCAGAGCAACTCGAGCAACCAGCTGCCAAGGAATGTTGGGAGAAGAACAGAATCCTACAGAAAGCAGCCCTACACAAAGCAGCCAATGGGTGCTTCATGCTGTCAAGAGAGGCATAGTCCCGTGATGCTCATGGGCCTCACAACGCTTGAGCTACGCCGTGCTTTCGACCGTGTCACATTCCGATGGCGGCTCACAACACACGTGCACGTCCGATACACTTGGTCAAACCGCTGCCACGACAGACAGGGCAAAGCAAGGAGGAGGCCACCGCGCGCCGTCCCCCATGCTCCCTGTGGCACAGAGCACCAAGCGTGTTACAAGATATGACCTGCCTCTGCCTGTGCATGGGAAACACCAGGGAATGACAAGTATCAGCTACTTAGCCAGCCTCTCGCAGCCAGCTAGGTCACCATGCACGGGACAGCATTTAGCCAGCAATCAATACTTGGTAGGATTTCATCACCAGGATACCAATTCTCCAGAATGAGCTCATCCAGGAAGCTTGGGCAGGTCAGGTAGGAAGGACCGATGGTAGCGTCCGCGAACAAATGCGCTGCAGCAACTGCCCACAGAGCAATGTGTCCCGGGGCGACAGCATGAAGTAGGAGTCCTAAGAAAGCTTCATGAATGATGCGTACTCTCTCCTTACACATTGTCACGGCAATCCGACATTACCTGTGGATCAAGAAGGCTTTAGCAAAAAGACGCTTGATGGTCGCAGCCGAGATGCACTTCGTACGGTCCTCGGCCGAACTGGCACGCAGGCTTGCACACATCTAGAATCTACGAAGTGGCTAAAGTTTGCACCATCAAGCCGGACACCTGG